AAGAGACAAGATTGAGGCAAGATAACATTCAATTTCCTATCCTTGTTTGTAACTTCTTTGCATTTGTGATGCTAATTAGATGGAGAGCCAACAATCAGCGGATTCAATTCAAGAACCTTCGTTTGTTGACCTGCCGGACGAGACATTACGATTGTCACAACCTTCAAGACGACACAATCGAGATGAAGATCTTCAAGAACGACATGTTCTTCCTTGAATACATAGTGAGATACAATGCGTTTGGTATCACGATTTGGGAAGGAACTCCCGATGTTTGGTGATTTTGTTAGAGGTAAGAACAACTCCTAATGGTGTTCCAAATAATCTATTCGAAGGAAGTTACGAAGGCCTCAACAATGATCAAATAATTGGGTGGTCTTCTCACCCTGATATGGGATACTACCGATGGTTGAGAGGCCCTATCAATCATCTTCGAAGAGAACAGAGATCAGAGTATGTGGCGAATACAATTCATCGCATCATAGATTTTCTCAACATATGATGACCGCTCCTCGTGGAACTCGTCTCTAGAAGGGGGGGTAATATCACGGCCATAATCATGTAAGCTAATAATTACATATAGAAATTGGTAGAAGTAAGTAAAAGTAGGTAAAAGTAAGTTAATTCTATAATATTTAATATGAAAGCTTCTTAGAAGTTTCCTAGATGTTGCTTTGACTTCATAGGTGTCTTTAATTGACTTTTTGGATTAGAGACGTGGTCAACAAGTTGGCCATGTACCACACATGTTGTTAGCTTGAAGATCAAGCTAACTATGTGGCCCACACGTAGAAAAACTTGCCTTGTAAGTCAAGGCATGTGTCCTACAAAGTCAACACATATTGGAGGTCCTATAGAATATCGCCACGTAGCCCCTAGTTAGATAGTATATATAGAGACAAGAGTGAAGGCTTCTTCACTCTTGTCAACTCCTTTCTTGCTTCTAGTCCAGGTTCAAGAGTCTTTAGTTTCTTGTCTTGTGGCAATAGCCATTCCAGTTTCCTTTTAATATACCTACTTGTTTATATTTTGACTTATTATATCGAGATAGCCTTTTTGTGTATATTTTCCCTCATCGAGTCTTTGTCCTTGACACAAGCTCTATTGTGACACATCATCCAATGAAACAAGGTAGTTGATCTTATCAACACAATTATGGAAACCAACTCACATGTGAAAGTATGTTGTACAATGAGATGTACATTTTTTTTTTTTTTTAAATAATCCTTATATGATTCTAAACAAGTTTTTCAATAGAAATTAATTACAAGCCCACAAAAGGGAATGATTAAAGATACTATCAACTTAACTTGCTCATATGATCTATTTTTTGATTGTGGCAGTAAAATATGTGGTATTTTGATCCTCTTTCGAGCTGAATTGGTCACGTGCAATAAAAACCAAAGATCTCATTTTGTAGGGATTTGTTCTAAGATTATTTCTTTCTTTATTAGATAATCAAGTACATGATCATGCCCTTCGTATGTTTAAGAAAATTTCTTAATCTATTTAAAGCATCAATGGTATTACACCCTCTATATGATATTTGTTAAACAAGTAATGCAGATTGTAGCAGTAGAAAAAGAAAGTGTGCAAAATTGATGCAAGTGCAATGTATAATGCTTCAATGGTTTGTCTATCTTGCTTTCTTGTCTTTTAAAACATGAATCAATACTTTGCATCCAATTAACACTAATGATTTACATATCAATGTTTCTTATAGTTGTATTGTGGACCATCTTCAATGCTGATATTTTTTAATCTTCTCATAATTAATTATTTATGTAATCATACAAACTTATTTTTTAATCATGTCCAAACTCTACTTTTTAAAGTTCATAAATATTTGTAGTCTATAAACACATATTTGCTACAGCTGCTTCTATAAATCACATACTTTTTATATAAACTTCTACATCAAGGAGGTATTCTTTATTTTATGGGTAGAGTGCATGATTTAGTTGGCTTTGGTAGTAGAAGGCTATTTGTCCAAAAAATGTAAAAGACACAAAGGTACTAGTTTCTATAAATAGAAAGGGCTACAATGTATTGTAATACCATCTACGCAGTTGCACAAAAAAAAAAAAAAAAAAAAAAAAAAAAAAACAATTAGGAGATAGAATCTTAAAATTCTCAAAAGGTGTTGATTAGATTCAGAATGAGGAGAATTTAATTAAATAAGAAGCAAGAGTACAAAAGGCATGTGATAGACAAGTCATGCACACTAACTATTAGGTAATCTCTCAACCTTCTTGTGCACATGTAACAAAAACATAAGGAATACAACCAACCCACAAAGTTGGTACCAATATTATTTTAACAAACACAATGATATCATATGATACAATAATATACCAAGTGTAGTATTGAACTTATTATCCATTGGAAGGAAATCTGATTGGGATATTTTTCAACTTCTCTAAAAACAAGTGCAAGGGCAAAGACTAAAAGTTCAAGAAATAATTCAAAAATACAGCTTGTTTGGCTTAATATATAAGTTAAATAACAAAGATGATGTTGCTATGCTCATAGGATGGGTTTCTCCAAATCTACTCCAATTTCTACTCAATTGCTATGTTGGATCCAAAGCACTAATAAAATTGGTTCTTGAGCATACTCTGCCCAACTCCTAATCAATAGAGGATGTCCAATGTACACAACCACTTGTACTAAAAATGCTAGAATTAATTAGTCTCACAATATCATCCAATCTTTGACTTAAGCATTAAAATATAAAAAAAATAGAACAGATCAACAATTTTATGGTTTTGGGCTTAATATGAAATCATGGCCCATGGATTAAATGGTCAACCATCTAGGCCAAGACAAGACTACATCACTCCTTCAAGTGCTTAACCATGCATAAGAATAACTATGTCAAATTTTAATTCAACCATACTCATGGCGTCAAACAAATGCTAGCAACCTACAGCTTCAAGATTAACAACAAAGATACATGCTTCTATCCTTAGACTCTTCACTACGAATACAACCTCTTTGCAACCCACAAATAAATGAAGACAGCCTTATAGGTACAATTTCTAGGCTTACCACATGTACTCAAAATCAAAGATTTCCTTCAATCCATCATTTTGCAGATTTTTGAAATCTTGATGGTTGACAATAGTGAACTATGCCACTCCAAAGTTTTTGGCCTTAGAGAGTGTGCATCCTCACAAACAACATAAGCACATTATCCAAAACCATCAAAACCTCATGGGTGGACACCAAGGAAAACCTTGAACAAGAACACACACTCTCGTTTAGCAGGTTCATTACCCAATGTAACTGCTGCCACTCTTTTGAGCACAACACAGTAGAGTGCAACCTCATAAGAAGACCCACAATAGAACAAATAACCACAAAGGGAAGAAAACAGTCTGGTCCAGTACAAGGGACACCCAATCCGATCCCACTCAGTAGCAGCTTGGGCTCTAGCTTACAGGAAACACCACTGGCCACAAGGTCACACTCAAAAAGAAAGACCACCACTGGATTTGTATGGAAACCCAGCAGCACCCTCCTCTTCCAAAGCCAAGCTGCATCTTCTAGGCTCACATACTGAGTTAGTGCTCTCCCTTGCAACAGAAGATTTTACCACTTTGATGCTGCTCTTGCCTCTTTGTAAAATATTAAAAAGATTACAATTTATAACAATACAATATAAGCACTTTTTAAGTGTTCTATTCTGGATGGGCAAATACATGACCATTCAACACAGTGGATAAATATGATAAAACAACATTATTTAAAAAAAAAAAAAAAAAAAAAAAAAAAACACTGAATTGAAACAAACTTTATTTTTGTTAGAGATTTATTCATTAATCTCATTTGATTGGAAAATATTACTACACCCAAGTTTCTAACGTTCAGAAATTGATATTATACAATAAGATGGAAAGAAAAAAGCAACGACTGGATTGATACGCTAATAATAACCAAACAATTTCCGCATTCTTCAGATGTATTTTTAAATAAGTTTAAAATAGATATATAAATGTTGAGAGTGGTGAGGATGATTAATTTTGTCCCAAGCAATCTGTAAGTGTCCTTCAAGCCTTCTGAAGCGAAGATAAACTTACTTCATACAGAAGGGCATAATTTTATCCAATGCTTTGTGGAATGAGAATGTGTAGACAACTCTATCCAGGAGTTTTCGACATGGGAAGGTTGCTATAAGAAGACCTTTATCTATCCACCTGTCAATCACAAGATACAGCAGCATCTTCACCAAAGCAATTTGGACTCTCATTAGCTGGAACCGCTTGGAGTGAGATCCTACACAAAGAGCTTCCCTGGAGAATAATAATAATTGAAAGAAAAGAAAAACAGAAAAAATCCAGAATAAAACCACCCATATATAGAAAAAATGGAGTTGGGGGAGTTGAAAGTCACCCTCAAAAAGCCACAGTACAGCTAACGAACCATGAAACTCACCAGTATTGAAGGTATGTGAAAATATGGCACAGAATCTCACATGGCAACAATAATTGCGTAGCCATCTTGCTTCACTGTTTATGTGTTTTGGAAGTGCTCTTGAACAAGTCCCACTTTGAAAGAGTCTATAAAAAGCCTCCATTCTTCTTCTAAGTTAACCCCATAAACCAACTCCTGAACCAAAAACAAGTTATCCATGCCTGATGCTTGCTTGGATTATCTATCACTGTAGTGGCAGGGTGCACAAGATTCAAGCAACAACAAGGATGAATCTGTGAAAGGGAAGGGCATTTGCAAGGCTCTGATGCTCAATCCCCTCTGGACAATGACTGACCTCTTCTTCTTATTCATGGCTGGGCCCGGGCCATATATGCGGCGGAGTCAAGTGGCCCTTTTCAGGAGATTTCTACGATGGATTATGCGAAGTGTGAACAGAGCTGAGACGGTTATGGGTACCCCCGAGCGAGCGGGCATGCATCACCGCGTGTGGGCGTGGGTCCCACGGCTCGGATCCACGCATGGGTTTCATGTCTCTCTGCGCTCTCCGCCTTAAAGCCCAAACAGCTCACCCTGTTGATGCAACTGCTGTGGGCTACCACCTTCCATCGTTGCCGATCCCGCATTGGATTCCCCTCGTCGTGCAATTGTCCGCGGGCTCTTTGTCTTGAGAGCCGAATCGCTGGATTTGGTGTTGTGTGGCGTGCGCGATGCTTTTTGTGTGGCAGTGTTACTGTGCGGAAGTTGAGCCAGATCTGAGGTCGCGGGCTTTGTGGAGTGTAGGAACGCATGTGGTTTTGCTTGGGAGTGAGATTTGAGAGCAAGGGAGGCTTGCATTGGGGTTTTCTTGCCCGGGGAGGTGGAGAGGGAGTCGGATCTGGTAGGGAATCAACAGTAGCGGGAGAGGGGCCGCATGTGGGAGTCTGAAGCGACATTTTAGCTTCAGAGGAGTATCGGCGGTGGTGATTCCGCCATGGAGTTTTACTTCTATGCTGTGTTCGGAATCCAGGTCATACTCCTGGTAGCTTTGGAGTTTGGAAAGTCGAGCAAGGACCGGATTACGACTTCCCCTGCTTTCAATGCCTTCAAGAACAACTACCTAGTTGTGTACTCGCTTATGATGGGTAACTAGTTTTGCAATTCTCGCTTTGTCTTTCCTTTTGGCTTCCGCTGCAGCTATTCAAGATTCATCACCTTGGAGACACTTTTGTTTAAAATATTTTAAAAAGTCCCCTCCCTCACTCCTTTTTTCTTCTTTTTGTATAAAAAAAAAGTTTATCGACTGTACGTGTTTGAGCTGATGCGATCAAGAATATTCAACTGCGATCCGTAGACAGTGGGTTTACGTATCGCGTCTTTCTATTACATTCGTATTTGAGTGAATGACTTTCTGTCATTTCCTCAAGTCACTGATGGTGTGGTCCTTTTATTTTTAGTAACTGAATCGCATCTCGTTCTTGAGTAGCTTGTTTCGCTGTATCATGGAATGCCCTGAAAATTGGATTCTGCTTAGTCGTGATGCTTATAGGTCTTGTTATTTCCACACATCAACATGCATTGCGGATTTAGTTCATTTACACGGTAGACGTCGTAGCTAAGGGTCGTGAGGCATTTGATTGTCGCTGTAGCTCACCTCTGGTTGCGGCCTACCGCATGGGGCTATGTTCGGAGATCGTCTTGGAATGCTGTCTACTGCACTTAAGATTTTGCGTCTGAAGATTGTTTAATCAGCTGATTGTAATTTTATTCTCTTCTTGTCTTTTAACTTGTATTTTAATTGTCGATAAATCTGTTCTACCCAGGGGAGTTTTTCGATGCACTGTCTATGCTGAGTCTAATGTATTTTTTTTCTTTCTATTTTCTTTTTGCCTCGTATTTGGTGTATGTCTTATCATTTCAGTGGGTATTAGCTCAAGTTAATTCGTCATATCATTTTTTGGTTAGCATTTCCCTCCAGACCAACAAGTCATGCTTAGTGAAAGATGTGATTGCTTCCTAAACTTCAAGAATCTCAAAGTTGTTGTTCATGTTTGCAGCGGGAGACTGGCTGCAGGGACCATATGTGTACGCTCTCTATGTCTTTTATGGATACAACAAGGGTGACATTGGAAAGCTGTTCATAGCTGGATTTGGATCCTCGATGATCTTCGGGACTGTTGTCGGATCTCTTGCCGATCGATAGTACGTGTGTTTATGCCCATGTTTGCATCTCAGGAGTGGTCTATTTTCCTTGCTCCCATCATTTTCGTGGCTGACTTGAGAACATTGAAAGGCTTACTTGATTAAAGTATTTTTTATTCATGCGTACTCACTGAACTTGCCAAACAATTAGGCTCTTTCGGTTTATCGCGGAACTCTCAATTACCTGGTAGAGTACCATCTTTGTCATGTCCAAACAGTCACATCAGATCTGGTTTAATTCTTCACTTCAAGTGATTTTATGATGTTTCTGACGCTTCGAACTTTTGCTTATAGTGGGCGCAAGAGGATGAGTGTCATCTACTGTATCACATATATTCTGAGTTGTTTCACGAAGCATTCTCCAGCATACAGAGTGTTGATGTTGGGACGTGTGTTGGGAGGTATCGCCACGTCACTGCTTTTCTCATCATTTGAGTCATGGCTCGTGGCTGAGCATTTTAAGGTAGCTAAACTACCTACACTTTTAGGTTATGTTTGCGATGTATCAAGTATAGTCATGAAGTGAGTTCATATTTGGGGGTTATTTTACACTGCTGTCATTAAGACGAATCTTTAGGATACACTAACGGCGTCCTTTTGCACGTCATGGATGTAGAGGGGCTTTGAGGCGCAGTGGTTATCACTCACTTTCTCCAAGGCTATATTCTTGGGCAATGGGCTGATTGCTATTCTAGCTGGGCTAGTGGCAAACACTTTAGCGGGTACATTTGGCTTAGGCCCTGTCTCTCCCTTCGACGCTGCAGCTTGTGTTCTGGCCGTTGGCATGGCCATTATTATCTCTTTTTGGCCGGAGAACTATGGAGATCAGACGGAAGGCAAAAGCTTCACGCATCAATTTACGCAGGCAGCTTCAGCTATTGCTTCTGGTAAGATTGATGAGTTGTAGACATATTTCAAGCTCTGACTGATTCATACTTACGACCAAACATAGTTCTGAAAGTTTCAAATTAATGTGTGCTCGTTTGGTACTGAGATGGAGGATTTGAGATCAGCCAAAGTAAGTCACGATGCTGGGTTGTGATTGTGTCACTGAATTCGCAGATGAGAAGATAGCCCTTTTGGGTGCCATCCAGTCTTTGTTTGAGGGCTCCATGTACACATTTGTGTTCCTCTGGACACCAGCCTTGAGCCCCAACGATCAGAAAATCCCATTCGGCTTTATTTTTGCTACCTTCATGCTTGCCTCTATGTTAGGCAGCTCCTTGGCATCTCGTCTCATGTCACGTTCACACTTGAGGGTGGAGAGCTATATGCAGGTCGTGTTTGCCGTCGCTTCGGGTTCCCTCTGCCTTCCAGTTATCATCCAAGTGAGTTCATTCTCCTAGCTTATGATATTGGCAATGCTGATGGCTGTAAGTAGTCGCTGTAATTTGAATGATACTTGGTTAGTTTAAGCAAGTAGTAGTAATCTTTGGTAACCTTACTCCCTGAATTTTGGTTGCGAAAATCTATAGTCAATAAGTGCAATAGGGTTGTGTAGCACTGATACAGACCGTTTTTAGAGACAAAAGGAGTGAGCACTAACACTATCATCTGTTTACTTGATTTAACACGTGATTTCGGGGTTATTTTTTGTGGTTTTGTTGCAGTTCTTTTTGCCAGACTCACCCTCTGATAGCATTACCGCTGGGGGGCGACTAAACCTACTTGGTTTCTGTATTTTTGAAATGTGTGTGGGAGTGTTCTGGCCCTCTATCATGAAAATGAGGTCCCAGTATATCCCTGAGGAGTCGAGAAGCACAATCATGAACTTTTTCCGCATCCCTTTAAACGTTTTCGTCTGTGTTGTATTATACAATGTAAGTCATGCTTTCCCTGGTGGATCTTCACGACTCTTTTCTTTATCCTTGGTAGAACAAATTTGGAGATTCATGGAATCGCCGAGTTTGAAATTATTAAAGCAGCAAGCTGTCTGACTTCTCTTTTGGTTTGTTGCTAAACATTTCAGGTCAGTGCATTCCCAATCAGTGTGATGTTTGGAATGTGCGCAATATTTTTGGCAGTGGCGGGTATCTTGCAGCGGCGTCTCTTGATGGTCTCCGATAAGCACAGGAGCAGTGAGTTGGATTCGCCCTACCCACCTCACATTATTTTGGAACCGTTTGTTTACTTGCGTATATGTTACATTCCTCACAGAAACTAGTAAAATAAAGATAGTACGACTATTTGTGACGCACTGAGATAAGTCGTAACGAGACCCTGTTTCATGTTATGCAGGGTCAGTGGAGACGTGGGCGACTGAAAAAGAAAGTGAAGCTGAGCCCCTGAACATTTAGGTTAGCCTGTAGGTGGTGCCCAAAGTATAGTGTTACATACAAATAGGGGAAACTGTTAAATCTTGTTGACCCCAGGTTAGCATTCATTGGGTGTAAGTGATTTTTATTGTGACATCAAATGGTATAGTCTTTGATTCTGTCATGGCTTTTAACTCTGTTTTTCATTTATTTGATAACTTTCCAAACTGGCTCTACTTCTCAGTCCATGCCTGCAGTTAAACGGCATCCGTAGGTGGTAATTTTTGTCAAATCTTCCTTTTTTTGGTCTATCTTGTTATACTTTTCTGTTCTTATTTTGTCGGAATTAAAAGCACTGGTCCTAATTTTGTTGAATCTCCTTAGACTTGATTTTTCCAGTATGCTCTCATCGCTTGTGAATCGTCTCTGCGAATGTGCGCTATGCGAATGATTAACAACAGTGACGTGGAACTATCATTGATGGCGGTTCACCCAGCCACCGAATATTAGCATAACGAAGCAGAACTGCTGCACTTGTGAGAAAATCTGCTATTTTCCATCCTGGAATAATTCACCTACACCTGCAACTAAAATATATTGTCCGAAGGAGCCTTGCATCACTTGGAATGCTTGCAACAGTATCTGAATCCTATGAAATTGTAAGGACCCCCATGAACGTCAATGAAGCTGTTTCCTTCGTGCAATATTGGGACGTGGAAAGTGTCAGCAATAATACAGCATTAAATGGTTTGAAGCCATGATCCTCCTTGTGGCAACGCCTTGGGATCGACACAACTCGACATAACTACAATCCGACAGAACACAGCAGTTATGTCTGTCAGCCAAATGCAGGATCATTGCCCATGGCATTGACCACAACAGTAAAAAGGGGTAGCGAAAATGTTTAGTCGAGGATTACGTTTTCATCTTTCGAGATATGTCGGAGTCAGGCAATGATCAATGCCCATTGTCTGAACTCTAATATATGTAGTATGCACATGTCACCAGCATTCAAAATTAGCATCTTCGGTCAACAAAACACTGTCCAATTTGTGGAGCTGCTTTTCTGTGCACCGCTACCACCGACAGAAGAACCTTTTCTACTCAACTTCTTTGCAGTTGCAATAATTCAATTCATATTAGACACTGAAACATGAGGTGTGTATCATAATTGTCTGTGTTGCCAACTGGAAGACCACTGGCACCAACTTGTATTGACCTCCAAATGTGCAACAGAGAAGATCCCTCAATGATCTCTTATTTGAATATAATTTGGTACCACTGTATGAACAAAAATAATCTCGACCATAACTGCGAGGCTCTGTCCCCCTTCATGTCATGGTTCAGGTGTCAAATTAAATTAATTAACCAACTGTAAGCATGTTTAAAGGATTAAAGACTACATTTAGAAGTTTGATTTTATGAATTAATAATCTCAAAATAGAGCACCGAAATGAATTAGTAAAAGAAATAATTATGAATGAAAACGTAGAGAAATACTCCAAAGTAAAAGTAAAGATACTAAAAATTATAAAAAGATTTGAAAGTAAAAAATATAAATAATTTTATAAATGAACTAATAAATATTATACAAATCTTAACAAGTTGGTCAAAAAATGTATAATTATATACAACTAAGAAGGAAGAATAGAGTGAAGAAGATAGATATTTATAAATTAAGAAGATATTAGAATGAATATTTTTAGGTACAAAGACCTAGAGAGACTTGAACTAAATCTAAAATACAAAAAATCTTCAACACGATTAAAAATGGCCTTATCTTTGCCTCCATATGATTATAACACATTTAGGATACCTTATAAAATAGTGCAATGCCATAATAATTTCACCAAATAGTTAATTTTTGTATAAAATTAGATTTTTTTTTTTATCTTTTTATCTATTTATATAATTATTTGATTTTTTAAGAATATTCAACTTTATTTTTGGCCCAATCAAAGTTACTTGGAGAACATAATGCAATTTAAGTAGAAACTAGTGATATTCCAATCTTTTAAGGAAAAAAAATATAATCTTTTATATAAAAAATATATTTAAGGAGAAAAAATATATATTTTCTATTAATGCTTGTTTTACAATTTTGATAATTACTAATTTATATTAAGTAAAACGATGATTTAGTAACTAATTAGATTGATTGTAGATTAGAATAATAAGTAAAATAATTACTATTCAATTATATAATCTCAAGCATTTAATTAACAAGCTGAATTTGTTGTTGAGTGTAAAAATTGTTTCTTTTGAAATCTATTTAGAAGCATGTACTAGTATGTCATAATTATTTTATAACTTTATATTAGCAATCAAAATTTTAAAAACTATATTGTCAAAAGAAGAAGACATGCAAATTAATACAATACAATTTAAACTTCTTATAATATAAAAACAAGACTTGACATATGCAAAAACAAAAAAACCATATTTATGTGTGTGTATTTAATATCAATAAAAAAAATAAAATCCTAAAATATAAATTTTAAATTTAAATAAAAATTAATAATTAAAAATATGTATATTTTTAAATTATTTATTAATATGTTTTATTTTACAAAGTTTTAATTATTAATTAATATGTAATTATATACTTTTCTTTTGTAGTTTAATTACTTCTTTGGACAATAGTAAGCAATATAATAAAGTTATCTATAATAAATATGTTTTTTTTTTTTTTTTTTTTTTTTCATATGTCAAGTCTTGTTTTTATATAATAAGAAGTCAAGTCTTGTTTTTTATATTATAAGAAGTCTAAATTGTATAGTATTAATTTGCATGTCTTCTTCTTTTGACAATATAGTTTTCAAAATTTTGGTTGCTAATATAAAGTTGTAAAACAATTATGATATACTAGTACATCCTTCTAAATAGATTTCAAAAGAAAATTTTTTTACACTTGACAACAAATTCAGCTTGTTAATTAAATGCTTGAGATTATATAATTGAATAGTAATTCTTGTACTTATTATTCTAATCTACAATTAATCTAGCTATTTACTAAATCATTTTTTTACTTAATACAAATTGGTAATTATCAAAATTGTAAAACAAGCATTAATAGAAAATATATTTTTTTCCTTAAAAGATTAGAATGTTCAAATAAAAAAGTTTGTGGAATTCAAATTTGTTTCTAATATTTTCTTAATATCAGGTGTTATTGTATTGTGTATATCAAAATTATAGTAAAGAAATTTTATATTTCCAACTTTATTATTTTTAAATGCCACTTTGTGTTGTTTCAACACAATATGCAAGTTGTGCACCATTCTTTTTCAGTTCTTAAGCATAATTTCAAGGGTTATGCTGATAAGATTCATAACCCAAGAGGCTTTATACCATTTTTTTTTTAATAAGTCTATAAGTCAAATTAGAGGAGACTAATTTGTAACCTCTAATACCAAATAAAAAGTTCTACAATGAAGAATAGTCCACTATCATAAAGAAATAAATTAATATTAAAAAATAAAAAATATTAATTTAAAAAAAGGTAGTTTATGATTTTTTAAAATAAAAAAAAGAAGTAGAATAATATACTTATTTATAAAAAAACAAAATTAGTAAATAAGTATTCATTTCAATTATTAAAAACATAAATCACAAATAATAAAAACATCAATACTATCTTGTATCACCCAAAAAGAATAAATATTCTTTCAAAGATAATATAATATTCAAATTAGAATGGCTATTGCCAAAAAAATTAGATTCTTAAAATAAGATTATAAATAAAAAAGACATTGTCAAGATTGAAGAAGGTTTCATTCTTATCTCCATATATACTTTCTAACTACAAGCTATGCAACAACATTCTATAGCTCCTCCAATAAGTGTCCAACTTATAAGACATGTGTTGTCATAGACATATATATTTATCTAGATAAAAAATACTAGGTAAAAGATAAATATAAATTGATTTAATATTATCTTATAACAAAGCTTCTTAAAAGATTCCTAGATGTATATTTGACTTTGTACATGTTTATAGTTGATTGATAGATTAGAAACTTGGCCAATAACTTAGCCATGTCTCACATATGGAGATAGCTTGTAGTACAAGCTAAATTATATGGCGTGCATATAGAAAAGTTGCCTTTTAAGTTAAAAAATGTGTCTTACAAATTAGACACATATTGAAGGTCCTATAGAACATCACCATGTAGCTTCTAGTTATATTGTATATATGGAAGTAAGAATAAAGCCTACTTCATTCTTGTCAATGTCTTTTTAGTCTTTAGTCTTATTTCAAGACTTTTTAGTCTTCTTGTTTTTGGCAATAGCCACTCTAGTTTAATATTATACCATCTTTGAGTGATTCTCAAATCTTTTTGAGTAAGACAAGAGTATATTGATCTTTTAGTTTTTCAAGATTTATGTCCTTAATATATATCTAATTTACAAAACAAGTTTTTTATATATGTGCTACATAACCAATTTGTACTACAAATTACTAACATGTATAATACATAGCCAACATATTATTATGGACATCCAACAAGAAGATTTTAGAAATATTTTAGAATATTCTATTAGATTTAAAAAGGTTATAAGAGATTCTTGAAAGATTTCTATAAGATTTTAGAATATTGAAGAAGATTCTTAAAATATTTTAATAAGTTCTAAAAAGTTTTAAGAAGATTAAGAAAGTTGTTTGAAAAGCTTTTTAAGATTGCTTCATCTTTAAGCAAACTAGAAACTTTTTAGAAAGCTTCTTAAGGTTGATTCATCCTCAAGCAACATAGAAACTTCTTAAAAAGCTTCTTGATACCTCATATAAATAAGAGTTGAGGTTGAGAGGATCTTCAATGTTGACAATACATCTCTTAGTGTTCTAGCTGACTTTTCTTGGTGTTGAGCTTGTACTCATCTAATAAGACCAAATTCTTATTACTTTTTATATTAAAACTCTTCTATTTAACTTCTTGTTTGATCTCTTGTATACTGTATCTATAACAAACTTTTAAGATTATTTTCTTACCAATACTAGAGCTTGATATTTTTTAATACAAAGTGGGTTATCTATCTTTTTTAAGGCATCTAAGAACTTTAGAAGTTATAGAATATCATCCTTTAAATTAGAAACTCTATTTATTTTTTTATTTTTTTTTATTTTTTATTTTTTTCAAAATTATTGGATGTGAAGATGTTAATATGGTTAAGTCTTTTGAATCTAAGTTAGATGTTATTATGAAAATATTGAATATCTTAACT